GGGGGCGCTGTGGGGCAGGGAGCGGGACGGGGGGGGCAGCAGGGGGCGCTCTCCCCTGGCAGGCGGGGCTGGCCCCAGGGGGCGCTGTGGGGCAGGGAGCGGGACGGGGGGCTCAGTAGGGGGCGCTCTCCCCTGGCAGGGGGCTGGCCTCAGGGTGGCGCTAGGGGGCGCTGGGGGTAGGGGGGGCACTGGGGGGCAGTGAGGGCAGCTCCTCTTTGACAGCCTGGCCGTGAACCCAGGCATCCGGGGCCAGATCTCCCCAGCAGCGGAGACGCAGCCCCCAGCCTCTAATTCAGGGGGGGTGCGCACATCTGGAGCCCCTCCCCCGCTCCCCCATTCATAGGCAGGGGTGGTGACGTCAGGGGTCCATCCCCCATGACGTCATGACTGACGCCCCCGCTTCATTCATTGCTCCTCGCTCCCGACCCGCAGCCCCTGTGCGCTCAGCCCAGCCCCCCCCCAGCTCTGCCGGTGCCCCCTCACTCCCGACCCGCAGCCCCCCGGGCTCCCCCAGCTCTGCCGGTGCCCCTCACTCCCGACCCGCAGTCCCTGGGTCCCCCCAGCTCTGCCGGTGCCCCTCACTCCCGACCCGCAGCCGCCCGGGTCCCCCCAGCTCAGCCAGTGCCCCTCACTCCCGACCCGCAGCCTCTGCTAGCCTGGCCCTGTCCCCCCCCAACTCTGCCAGTGCCCCTCACTCCCGCCCCGCAGCCCCTGCTAGCCCAGCCCCCCTTTCAGGCTCTGGGTTTCCTCTTTCTCGGGCCGGCTGGTTTCCCCTTTCTGGGGTTAGCCTGAGGTAGTTTCGCTTTTGCTGCCTTTCCCCGCCCGGCAGGAGGAACTGACAGAAGGATCGGGAGCCCGGGGGTGTGAGAGGAGAGAAACACCCCTCCCCCAACCCGCCCACGCGTCCATGGGGGGTAGGGGACCCCGCAGCGCTGCCAGCCCCTGTGCAGCGAGGGAATGGGACCCAGGCATCCGGGAGGGCACTCACTCCCAGGGGACCCTGCCGTGCGCTCAGCCTGTAGAGAGCGGGGAGGATAGTGAACAGGACCCAGGCATGTGGGGTGGACTTGGAGACCGGTACAGGGAACGGGACCCAGGAGTCCAAGGAGGTGGCGGGAGGGAGATGAGGACTGGAAATGAGACTCAGGCATCCGGGGTGGAATGTGGGGGAAACCAGGATGGGGAATGGGACCCAGGCTTCCGGGGAGCAGGAGAAGGGGACCCAGGACTCCGAGGAGGTGGGGGGAGGGAGGTCAGGATGGGAAATGGGACCCAGGCATCCGGGCTGGGATGTGGGGGAGACCTGGATGGGGAAGAGGACCCAGGCATCCGGGGAGCTTCGGAGCAGGAGACTGGAACAGTACCTTGTGGATTCTTCTGGGAGCTCATGTTTGCTCCGGTCTCGGCCTCCCACGCTGGACCCCGGAGTCCAGGCCGATGCCTCAAGGCCACTTCCCCCTTCCGCAGCTGGGGCCCGGCCTTTATAGACACCGGCCACTTCCCCTTCTGCCGCCTATAGGAGCCGTTGACTCCGGGGGGGAGGGGGTGTCACTGTGCTGGGGGGCCAGGGCTGCAGGGGGCAGCAGGGGGCGCTCTCCCCAGCAGTCGGTGCCAGCCCAGAGACCCCAGTCTTGTCCCAGACGTTTTGTTCTATTTGATGGTCCCCCACCCCAGAGCCAGCTGCATCTGAGGGCCAGGCAAGCGGTCCCCGGGTAACCAGCCTCTGTTCCCCTCCAGAGTGGGGCTGTGTCTCGGTGCTTAGTGAGGGATCCCCCTATAACCTGCCCCCCGCAGAGGGGCCGCGTCCCAGTGCCGGGCCAGGGGTCGCCACCGAGCCCAGCTCCGTGGCGATGAAATGATCACAGAGATGCCTCGACCTGCTGGGTGCCTGCGTTTATTGAAAGCTTAAAGCCCCCAAAGAACTTCCATTTTGGTCACTCGGCGGGAACTGGGGGTTCCCCTCCCCTGCTGAGCCATGGGGTGAGCACAGGACCCCCACTCACCTGTGGGGAGAAAGAGAGTCACATTAAGGATGAGAACCCAGGAGTCCGGGCTCTGAGCCCCCCCTGCTCTGACCCACCAGCTCCCACTCCCCTCCCAGAGCCAGGGAGAGAACCCAGGAGTCCGGGCTCTGAGCCCCCCCTGCTCTGACCCACCAGCCCCCACTCCCCGCCCAGAGCCGGGGAGAGAACCCAGGAGTCCTGGCTCCCAGCCTCCCCTGCTCTAACCCACCAGCCCCCACTCCCCTCCCAGAGCCGGGAGAGAACCCAGGAGTCCTGGCTCCCAGCCCCCCCTGTTCTAACCACCAGCCCCCACTCCCCGCCCAGAGCCGGGGAGAGAACCCAGGCATCGGGGCCCCACCCCCGCTCATGGCTAGGCCCGTGGGGGGAGGGAGGGTTACCATGCTGCGGTGGGGCCGGGTGTCCGATAGTCCACAGTGAAGGCGTCTGTGTTTCCGTTCTCATCGCTGACCAGCACCTCCGCGTACGGGAAGCAGCACGTCCAGCTGCGTCGGGCAACAGAGACAGGACGGATAAGCAGGGGCTGCGGGTCGGGAGTGAGGGGCACCGGCAGAGTGGGGGGGGCAGGGCTGGGCTGGCAGGGGCTGCGGGTCGGGAGTGAGGGGCACCGGCAGAGCTGGGGGGCAGGGCTGCGCTGGCAGGGGCTGCGGGTCGGGAGTGAGGGGCACCGGCAGAGCTGGGGGGAGCCGAGGGGGCTGCGGGTCGGGAGTGAGGGGCACCGGGACTATTACCCACCGATAGTCACACACGAGGCCCTCGTCCGCGCTGGGTCCCCGCGGGCGGCAGCTCAGCCCAGAGGGGTTGGCGCCGACCCGGACCGTCACCGGACTCTCCGCATCGACCGCGTGAAATCTCATGGTCCAGACGTGCCGGGCGCAGTCGGGGTCGTGCTGGATGCTGCCCGCGCAGGGCATGGAGAGCTCCAGCAGCCTGTGGGCCGGCGGGTTCTCATCCGTCACCTGTCGGGAGGGGGACAAAAAATCCGCCCTCAGCACCCAAAGAGCAGGGAATCAAGATCAGTAATCACTAGCCAGGGAGGGACCCTAGTAGCCCTGGAGAACTGGGGTCAGCCCCCACTGCGGAGAAATTGGGGACTGCGAATCAGCCACCAGTAACTGGGGATCAATAATCAATAGGTGAAGATTGGGGACAGCGAATCAGCCACCAGTAACTGGGGATCAATAATCAATAGGCGAAGGTTGGGGACAGCGAATCAGTCACCAGTAACTGGGAATCAATAATCAATAGGCGAAGGTTGGGGACAGCGAATCAGCCACCAGTAACTGGGGATCAATAATCAATAGGCGAAGGTTGGGGACAGCGAATCAGTCACCAGTAACTGGGAATCAATAATCAATAGGCGAAGGTTGGGGACAGCGAATCAGTTGCCAATAATCAATAATCAGCCAGCCACGAAATACCATGCGGGGGTTAGAGCAGCCAGCCGGGAAAGTCAGCAGTGCCGACGTCAACAATCGACCGTCCTCCGGCGAGAGGAGAATCCGGCATTAACTGCGGTGACTCGTCATCAATACTCGGAAATTGATCGCTCATCACTGGCCATCGGTGAGCAGGAGCCAATGGCCAGCGATCGATACGTGACTCTTGGCCACCACCAATAGCCAATAGTTCACGATCGCTGATTAATGCCCGATAACCGGCCGTCCATTAGCCATCGTTAATGATCATCAATTGTCATTGGGAGTGACGCATGATTGGCCAGGAGTTGTCAATGCTAGCCAGGGAGCGATCATTTAGAGATCATCGATTATTGGCAAGCGATGAGCGGGGGATGCCAGCGACCCAACGCAACGCCGTCGGAAGGGAGAGCGCGGGCTGGCTCTGAAGCCAACTCACCACGGCGTCTTCTGGCACCACCATGATGGGGATTTTCACGTAATTATGAGCTGACGAACTTTGTGCCATAAACGTCGCGATGCTGGGGAGAGGCGGGGGTGTGTGTTTGCGTTAGAAGATTGCGCCCGAGCTGGGTGTTACGTGAAACACTGTGGCTGCCTAAAACTCCCATTAATAATGGTGATTAATAATTATGGATCCGCGTAATTAGAGCTGCGTTGAAGTTGGGATGAACATTTTGGACATTCCCCGTTCTTGGATCTGGGTTTTTTGGGGGCGTTTTATGGAATTTTGAAATTCCGTTGCGAATTTCAGTCCCAGTGTTTTGGTTGCAAAGCTGACGATGTTGCTGAAAACTGAACGTCGTCAAAAATGGCGGCTGAAATTTTAAATGTCATCGAACGTTTTTGAGCAAATGGTACCGAACATTTGCAGGTGGTGTTTTTGGCAATCGAAATGTTTGGGGTTTCATCCAACGCTGTCGTGGAACTGGGCTGAATTTCATCAACAATTTCAGCTGACCGGTCACTGAATGTTTCAGCTGAAATTTCATGGAAAATTTTGTTGATATTTTTTGGAATTCAAGGAATTGTTGTTGAAACGTCAGGGCCGGCATTCAAAATGGTAGTTGTTTTCTTTACTTTTTGAAATTTGTTTTAATTTTGCAAAAAGTTCCAGCGCGAAATGTTTGGCATTTCAGGAACATTTTCAACGGTTCAAATTCTGCCAAAAATGTGATGCATTTGGTTTGAAAAATGTTACGTGGAAATTCCCTCCTCCCCCAAATGTAGCTGGTTTATAAAAATTCTCCAAAGTTTTGAGCTAAATTTTTTTTAATTCACCAAAACTTTTAGCTGGAATTTTGACTTTGGCGGAACATTTGAACTTTTAAAAATTTTAACATTTGAATGTTAAATTTGAAATTGTAAAAAGTTGCCTCAAAAATTGTAGTGGAAATTTTGACCACCCCCCCCCCCCGAAAAATCAGTGCGACTTTCCCGCAGCGTCCCTCCCATTCGTCCACGACACGCGACGGAATGGGCCGGCGTCCTTTGCAGCCCCGAAACGCCGTCGCCGAAATGTTCCACATTTTCCAAACGGTGCTGAAAGTTTTCGTTGCCGCATTCGGTTCGTTGCGATTTCAAACAGCAGCCGAGATTTGAGCTGAACATTTCTGAGCCCCGGCCAAAACGTCTGCCTTGATGTTTTTCAAACCTTTTGGCCAAAACGCCAAACGTCCCTTCGGATTTTGGTTCCCTGCCCCCCAACGTCAGTGAAAATGGTTTAATTTTTTTTCTCTTTTGGGGCCAATTGTAGATAAATCTGTGATAATTTTTATATGACTTTACATTGTGCCTCTTCATATAACCTTGTGGTGGGTCTACCCACGTGTGACCTCTGTTTTCATGGGACTTTGTATCAAAGCCTCATTTAGAAACTTTGCATTGCCCTTGGTATAATATTATAGCCCCTAAGAATAGAATAAGATAGAAGAAAAATTTCTTTTTGCTAGCCGTAGAACAAGAGCTCCTCCCCCCCCCCC